ATCTGCTATTGCCTTTATTGGATGTCAAAAGGAATTCACTTGTTTCTCAGTGAAGGATCAAGGCTGTTTTGGTCACTGAAGCTGACTCCACACTTCAATTATCATCATCTGAAATGAAAAGGGATCAACATAAATGCAAGAAGAATCTGATTTATGAACAATGAACACTCAAAAACCAAAGACACACAAACTTTGGAATTTATCATTTTAAAAAAAGTGCAGACAAATCCATTTCTTCACCCTGGAATTGAATTATTTAATTTATAGCATTTGAAAGATGAGCTGTTAAAAAAAAACACCAAAAAAAACATTAAAATGTTTCTTTGAGGTTACAGGCTACTTTTTCTTTTATTCCTTTTTACCTCTGAGTAACTTCTTGTGACCCCAGAGGTTCATGTGATTGCATGTTCTAAAGAAAGTGTTCAAAAACAATGACAGCTATCATAAATAAAAATTTATGTAAAATAAATAGCCACTGGTCATTTCATAATCATGTTTCTTGTCAATGCAGCATAAGGGAGCCACTGGAGAGAAAAAGACCTTCTCAACCCCAGAAACAGACTTAAGAATTAAGTTTTATAAAAAGACTAAAACACTAAGAGAAAATGTGATTTTTAACAAATTCCAACAGTTTCTTGGATTTTTACAGAGTTTATATCTGTTCTCTGACAACTAAGCATGCAGTCTGGTCCAGTACAGATGTGATAATGTTGCTTCTTGAATAATAAGGGTAAAACACCAAAATGGGCTAAAAGTGACAAAACACTCAAATTTGAGCACCAAACACTGAATGTGCAAATGTAGCATGCATTACAATCCATTTAAAAATATGAATTCGTTAATCGACTGGCATTTGTTGCCCTGACCAATGAGGGCAGCAGCACCATCAGCTGGTCGGGCACACCCCTGCTGTCCTGTGTGTAAGAAACATTTGTACCTGAAGAAATCCTGCACTTGTATTCACCGCTAACACACACCAGTGACAGAAACCATTTTCACACCAGCACCAACATGTTAAACTGGAACATCCTGTGCTTCCCACACAAGCTTTAGTTCAACCTCTATTTAAAATAGGAGCTAAACCATACCTTCTTCCTCCTCGTCTTCTTCATCCTCCTCCTCTTCCTCATCTTCATCAGAGCTGAAGGTCCCATCAGGCAGGCTGTACACACGGATCACTTGCTGTAGATGAGAAACAGAATATCAGCTTGTGAGCTCACACACCTCCCAGCTGCCTTTCAGTTCTGCTCTCTGCGCCGGCTCACCTTGTTCGGGTCCTTCAGGATCAGGTACTTGCCCTCGTCCAGCTTGAGGCAGATGTCGATGACGCAGCGCAGGATTCCCCAGGCGTTCTCCATGCTCAGGTTGATCTGGCTGGCGAATTCATTGGGTTTGAACTGCTGGGTGCCCAGGATGACGTGGCGAGCAGAGTCTTTCACGTGGTACCGAGAAACGTACCTGGAGAAACCACAGAGTGATGCAGAGACAGTCAGTCCAGCTTACTGCCTTGGCCTACGAGCACTGCAAGAAGGAACTGGATTGCTCCTCAATCAACGATCAGTGAAAAACCTTTTTCTGCATCTTAATATTTAAATTAGCCTCTTCTTTTACACACAGAATCGGAATCTCGCTCCTCACCCCAGTTTCAGGTACTCGGATCCAGCCAGCATGGCGCAGCAGGTCCAGCGCGCCAGTTTGTAGCTGTTATTCTTCAGCTCGGTGGCCAAGACGGCTCCTCTCTGAGAATCCAGCTTCTGACGCCAGTCCACACCATTACAATACTACAGGACAAGACAAATCAGAGGCACCAAAGCTTATAAACAGAACAGCATATACTTAGCTGAAGGAGGAGGTTAACTGCCTGTGAACAGAAGAGTGGCTCTAGTAGCGGATGCTTTAAAAGCATCTGGAATAACAAAACTGCCTTCATTACAGCAATATTTCACAGAGTCTGAATCTGGAGATCTGTCACCACTTCTCTGATTTTTACTCACTGAAAATTCACATCAGACAGATGCAGCTGAGGTACAACCATGGTTATTTTTAACACAGCAT